TTACTGCCTGCTTGGGCCCATCGGGCCATTTACCAATTTAGCAATCTCCTGACTCCGAAATCTGTTCGTAAATTTTAGTTTTGTACGATACGGCTATATTGCCCCGTCCGTCCCATCGCGAAGGTTTAGGGTTCTTTAGAATTTTCTCGGGTTGACCGTCCCTATTCTTTACCGTCATACCTTTTTTAACTTTACCGCTTACACGTGCGCGCAACATGCACACGTGCATACAGCATGGTTTTCCATCTGCACAGCAACTAGAAGTTTTCCGATTTCACCCAACCGTATTGGACAGCTACCGACCAATCACGAGGCTGACTATTCGATTTTAACCGCCCTTCTTAAAATCAGTCAGCCAATCGCTATGCAAGAAATATGCGACCACCTCCTCAAAAAATGTAATGCGAACGGAGGAGGAATTCTGTATTTTTTCTGTAAGTCAGTCAGTCTCCGTCTCTCGATAATTTAGCGTCTCTCGTCAGCCTTCACCATCATCTCTGCAACAGTTATCGTTATTCACGCGTGAAGAGCTGACAACATTCAATAAGTCATTCGTCTATTTAATATTATAATAAATTAAAGTTGTTTTGTTCGCGACAGTTTCACTCTTCATTCGGGTACCTTCCTTCTTCACGTGAGCAGTTGTATGAATATTCCATTTTGCAATTCTACTTGCAAAAACAATCGGGATTCATACAACAACTGCCCGACAAACTAGCCGGGTAGAACGGAGGCCAGTCGAATCTATCGAGTTTTATTTATAGTTCATGATATATATAGTTCATATCATTCATATTAATTGACTTATAGTTCAAACCAGATGTATAACCGCTCAAAGAGACGTATATAAAATGGATCCAAGTGCTCCGTTCTACGATCCTCAATCAAGTGCCGTTCCGTCCACTGTTCGGAGGGACCGTCTTGGTCTAGCCGTATCAATTGTTTAGGCAATCCTCATATCTTCTAAACATGCTCGCTTTTTCTCGTCCATGATTCTGGGAATAGGCCCACCCATGGACCTCCGATCATTTTGCCTTTGTCTCTTCGAAATATTTCCTTCAACGGGTATATTAATTGACTTATCGTTCACACCAGATGTATAACCGCTCAAAGAGACATATATGAAATGGATCCAAGTGCTCCGTTCTACGATCCTCGACCAAGTGCCGTTCCGTCCACTTTTCGGAGGGACCGTCTTGGTCTAGCCGTATCAATTGTTTACGCAATCCTCATATCTTCTAAACAGGCTCGCTTTTCCTCGTCCATGATTCTGAGAATAGGCCGCCCATGGACCTCCGATCATTTTGCCTTTGTCTCTTCGAAATATTTCCTTCAACGGGTATATTAATTGACTTATCGTTCACACCAGATGTATAACCGCTCAAAGAGACATATATGAAATGGATCCAAGTACTCCGTTCTACGATCCTCGACCAAGTGCCGTTCCGTCCACTGTTCGGAGGAACTGTCTAGCCGTATCAATCGTTTAGGCAATCCTCATATCTTCTAAACATGCTCGCTTTTCCTCGTCCATGATTCTGGGAATAGGCCCACCCATGGACCTCCGATCATTTTGCCTTTGTATCTTCGAAACATTTCCTTCAACGGGTATATTAATTGACTTATCGTTCAAACCAGAAGTATAACCGCTCAAAGAGACGTATATCAAATGGATCCAAGTGCTCCGTTCTACGATCCTCGACCAAGTGCCGTTCCGTCCACTGTTCGTAGGGACAGTCTTGGTCTAGCCGTATCAATTGTTTAGGCAATCCTCATATCTTCTAAACATGCTCGCTTTTCCTCGTCCATCATTCTGGGAATAGGCCCGCCCATGGACCTCCGATCATTTTGCCTTTGTCTCTTCGAAATATTTCCTTCATTTTTTATCTGCCATTGTACAATGCACTACAGTGCGATGGATCTCGCGCTAACTTAAACGGAAACTCACGCGAGTATTTCTGATGTGATAAGTAGCGTTTATTTGCGTTTGCGGAGCAGCGAACCGTGTGAGAATGTCATTGTGTTACGACCCGAGCTAAAGTGTTCACGTTTGAACTGATGCTTAGTCGCGTCGGTGCCGGAGAAAATGCCTTTTTCGGAGGATGAACGGATTCTGATTTTCTGATGAAGATCTCGGAGTATCGAGACCTCGGAGAAAGTTTTGAGAAGGTGGAGTTTTGTAAGGATCTCCGAGGATAGGTCGAGAGAAAAAAATGGGCTGCATTTTGCAATGCAGCCGATTGGTTGCAAAGGAACGTAGCAAGGGAAGTCATTGCAGCCAAGGAGGTGTAGGTGGGGACTGCAAGATGGACTCCTAGAGAAGTACTTCCGAGAAGGAACTTGGAAAGGACTTAAGAAATATGGTGACAAATTGCCACTCATTGGTACGTGCCGAAATTAAGAAAGCGAGGCTTAAGCGCTGAAGAAATAAATTGTCCTTCTCGGAAGGTTTGGAAAAGTCTGCGACTTGATTGTTTCCATATGAGTCGAGAGCGACAGATGGACGCCCTTAAAGAGGAGACCTCTAAAACATCAAAAAAAGGGAGACGAGCGCCTTGACCATGGGGTTCTATGGCGGTCCTCTACCCTCGGCGAAGAAGTTATGACGGCGCGAAGGGTCGCGTGGTTCGAGCGCAGAGATACGCTCGCACCGTTATCGCTGTAGAAATTATTTATTCGTTAATCTAAATCTATTTCTAAATTTACGCTACGGTATTGGATCGATCGAGGACGAGCCATTAAACATTTAGGTGTAGGTGTAGAGATGGTGTGTACCCATTATATACCCACTCCTGTGTGGACTCGTCGGTAAGGCTATCAGGCAGACCCTGCCTTAAACACCGAAAAATCTCCCCTGAGCGGGATTTGAACCCGAGAGACTACGTGGTATGAGCGGTGAGCGTAACCGCTGGGCAATCGAAGGCCCGTGTAGAAGGAAGAACTTCTGATATGTATATGCTATGACCGCCACAAACACTTTAAGGGGGTGAAACCACCATCTAAAGTAAGGCATATGTTGGATTCCTGTGTTGAAGCGATAAAATTACTTTTATTTTCAACAGCTTTACACATTTGAATACGGTAGGAACCTTAGGCGGTAGTTCGATGTTTCTAGAGCAGTCTGCTCCGTTCGGCGCTATTCTCTGTTCTGCTCTTCTCTATTCTCATCTGTTCGTGAAAATCTAGTCTTTTTGTTAACTCAAGAACGCGTACGCATATGAAATCTAAAAGCTTATTGGTTGAATCGTAGATTCGGAAGGGAATTCTCTCCAGTGATTCGTCGAGGGTTTTGGATAGGAAATAATCGGTTTTCTAGGAAAATGCATGAATAATCTGGCTTTCTTAGTAAATTGGGGAAATCATGTTGTAGGAGGTGAAATTACCGACTATTATGACAAGTCTGTGTCCCCACTTTGGTGGTGAACGCCGTTAAAAAATATGGAAAGTTGCATTCTCGATGCACTTTCTTCCCTTTCCTCTGTCGAAACCTAGGAAGGGATGCACTTGGGATGCTGAGCCCTGATTGGCTGACTTTAGGATAGCATTTCCCAAAGGTTCGTTTCTCCAGGACGGCACAGACTTCCTCGAATCCTGGAGAAGGTCCGCGATGTCTGATAGCCATACGATATCCTTTTGGAAATGCGTCGCCATGGCAGACCCTGAAGTGGCCACTTTGAAGACCCCCCTGATCGGGATCATTAATTCCGAGTCCTTTCTTTAGCTATTTTCTAACCACGTGCAGAACACTTCGAGAAAGAGTGCCTCGCATTGTCCATAGCCAAATGTTGCTCAAATGTTCTTTAGGCCGCCTCACTCCAATCAGATGGTTCAACAACACGAATATCTTTGTTTTATATTCTAAGCTTTCTGTTGGATCCTTGAAAAACTTAACAATTTATTTTAACGATCTGAGCTTATGTTCGAAAGTGTACAATTGAAGTCCGGTTCTTGAAGTGCAATGTCGCGTGCGAAGCGATTGAAGTTAGTCCGCCGGAGAATGTAGAAGATTCTGACTGTGCCCAGAAGGACTCCTTTTTTAAGCGTTTTCGTATGCTGTCCTCTAGGGCGAAGTTTTTTGCAAAGCGTTCGCTGATAGGCATAGTGAAATGAAAGTGGGATTGATAATCGAAGGCGATTGGTTAATGAGGACTGAGAAAGGGAAAAGTTAATGTTGTTTAAGGAGGCTTAGGTGGGGAATAAAAGAGATGGGCTATAGGACCATGAGTTCCTAGAAGTAAACAAATCATGAGCTAAAGGTCCGCGGTAGTAGATAAAAGAGCGAAGCGCTAGAGTTTCTGTTTATACATCAATTTAAGTTATGAGCATAATACGTTACTGAATTAATGGTGCTAGATGACATGGAGAGACACGAGGAAAGATAAACGGAATTTGAAATAAGAAAGAAATAGAACACCTAGATCGCTGCAGAGAGTATTCCAATTAAAATTTAGCGTTAGATTATGGATTAGTCCTAACAGTTCCGTAGTTAATTAATGAAATCGCGATCCTAATTGTTGACAAATGATCACTATGTTTCGGTGATGGTCGAATGATTTAACACTTTCAAATGGCGTGAAATAAAAATGTTGTTTATTTCACGCCATTATGTGATCTTGTTTCTAGCCTGGAGTGAATTAAAAGACTTAAATTTTGAAAAATAAAATTTCATGAGTGAATAATAAAAGCAAAAAATAAAAATAAATATCCCCAAAACAATCAGTACCGAACGCGTAAGGGGATTTGGTGACAGATTAATTAGGATTAATTAATAATATCTAGTATTTCTCTATAGTTTATAAGTTTCATTTCTAACGCCCGTGAAAACCACGCACTTACTTTCTTGGTAATATTGGGTTTACATTTTCACAAAATTGAAGGAGAAGCAGAATAAAGTGTCACGTAATGTTTGAATCCTTTTCGTCTAAATCTTGCAAATGTTATCTTTTAATGTCAGTTCTGTAGATAGTATATAACGTATAACCGATGATTAAATTGTACAGCTCCATAGGATAGAATACGTCCACAGTCGTCATCTAATCTACCGCGACGTCAAGCCAGAGAATTTCCTAATAGGGAGAAGCACGACGAAGCGAGAGAAGATTATTCACATAATAGATTTTGGACTGGCCAAAGAGTACATAGACTTGGAAACGAACAAGCATATACCATATCGGGAACACAAGAGTCTGACGGGGACTGCGCGCTACATGAGCATCAACACCCATCTAGGAAAAGGTAAATTTCCATATAATAAAAATATCTATTATTAATTTACTAAGTAGATGCAGAGGAGCGGTCTACCAGGTGGTAACGTTTCTAAATCTCTCGAGACAAATGACATTTTGATGCTTTAAGCATTGATATCTAAAATTGATATCGGACACGCTCACGTGTAACTCTTGGATACATTAAATCAATGAATTGCCTTTATAAGTACTTACTACGCTAATCAACATCCCTAGTAGCACAACATATTTGTCCTATATTTTCTATATATTTAACAAATATCGCACATTTTGTAAATATTTAGCAGACATTTGAAATAATTGCAAAACGTTTACTTTAGAATATTACCTCTATAATATTTATATAATATTAGCTCCATGTATTTTCATAATATTTTTCTACCAGACACACAAAACATTTCGTTTCATTTTAATACAAGTATTTTTTAAATATTATCTGCCGAATACATTATAAACGTTTTAAAAATATTTAAAATAAAAGTCACACGTTTTGCTCCCATAATGAAATAGCGGAACGAAAATATTAGAAAAATTTCTCGTGTTTTTTGATACCAAATGAAGTGTCCGATAATAGTCGTGAAGGAAAAAATGTATTTTTATTATGTTAATAAGTTAAAAAATATTTCTCTATATGTTTATAAATTATTGAAACTAATTATGTCATTGAGATTTTCAACAAATATTTCAAATATCTTCGAATGAAATCTACGAGAAATCTTAAAAAATCTGTCGCTTGAGATATTTAGCAGAGATTACAAAGAATTATTTAGAAATTATTCTATGCTACTAGAGATGTCACCAAACAATGAAATGTTACTATCAATCTTGCCGGCCCTCCTTACCTTCTCTTTCCATGGAACATAAGGTAAACGTATACATCTCTGGTGTGAAACAAATTTGCGTCAAATAATTCTTTTTTAGAGTTACATTTTGCAAAATAAATCTATTAAATTGTTGATCTCATGCAAACACGTAAAAGATAGTCCATAATAATATTGTCGAGTCTCAAGCAAGTTCAAGGTATATATTACTTCATAACTATTTGTCAATATTGTAATAAATGAAGTCGTGAGGGGTGAATTCTTTTACATTTAATTTATTATATTTTCCTCATATCAAAGAATTACCTAAGAAATCGCTTTCGTTATTTTTGAAGGTCAAGATATAGGGCCTTACTTATGTCTCACTTTTATCTTTAAAAAACGTATTTTAGCAGCAATACCTCCTCATACCTTCTTGTGAGTTCCTTTTTGAGCGCTTTTAGGATAAAAGTGAGGAGAGAGACTTTTATACCGTTTTTGTCAAAATTATGCATAAGATTTTAACAACTTTTATTGTTAAAATCATGTATGAAAAATAAACTGCATAAAGGATATATTACACGAAGCAAAAGCGCGTGAAGTAAATACAGAGCATCAAATAAATACCAGGGACTTTTGAAATCGAATTTATGTTGTTCTCAGCTAACCATGAAATTGGACTTTGGTTACGGCTTTATTCTGGCAAACTCGCTTTTCATTTAGGTAATGGCAAAGTACGGTAAACACTGAAGTTGTGGCATACGGAAAACGCATGCGGTGGGCGAGAGAAGCAAATGCGCGTGACGTAGTCGTCACGTTTTTCCGACGTTATCATATCACGTTTCGTAATAGTGATTCTTTAACTAACAGTGGACTTAAGATGATATAAAGGTGTCGTATATATGTTACAGTGAAACACCGAAATCTGAATAATATCGACTTTCACCGGTGAATGTCAACATTCACATAGTCGCCTCGTGTATGTCCGAAATATTTGCTAAATACCCTTATTTCTCACTTACACCGGTAAATGTTGACATTCACCGGTGTGTGATGTTGACACACACTGGAGAGGGTCCGAATGTACAACAATGTAATGAAATATTCGATCTTTCACCGACGTATTTGGTATCTGTTGACATTCACCGGTGAAAGTCGACATTCTCCAATTTCGGTCATTCAACGGTAACATATACATACCAAGAAGTCGAAATATTTATAAAACTTTTCTTCAAATTGGGTGTACTGAATCATTTGAAATTTCATTACGAGATTATGGAGACCCTAAGGAAGAACGCGATGCTCCTGAAATTCCATTTTTCGAAAAAAAATTTGTAGTTATCTCGGACAAGAACCAAAAAAGACATTTTTTTTTTTTCAAAAATGGAATTTCTCGAGCATCGCGTTCTTCCTTAAGGCGACCATAATCACGTGTTAAAGTTTCAAACTGCCCTAGTAGCATAGGATAATTTCTATTTGTTTGTAATCTTTGCTAAATATCTTAAGCGACAGATTTTTGAAGATTTCTTGTAGATTTCATTCGATGATATCTGAAATATCTGTTGAAAATCTCAATAACATATTTAGTTTCATTAATTTATAAACNTATGAACATATAATGAAAATACCCTTATTTTACTTCACGACTATTATCGAACACTTCATTTAGTATCAAAAGACATGAGAAATTTTTCTAATATTTTCGTTCCGCTATTTCATTATGGGAGCAAAACGTGTAACTGATTTTAAATATGTTTAAAACGTTTATAATGTATTACGGTGAAGTGAAACCCCCTTCAAATCAGTCGATTCGAATACAACACTTTTTTTTAAGGGTATTAGACCAAACTGTCCGAAACTTTGACACATGACTCGTGATCATCTAAGAATTGTCCTGACACATTCAAAATTTGGATTTTTCAAAAAAACTGTTTAACTTAGGCCAAAGCAGAACCAAAATGGCGTCGTGCTCTCATATTTCGATCCATATACAATTATCGAAGGCTCTGATATGAGAAACGAAAGGGTCAGGACATTTTTACGACAATTCAGAACACTCTGATAATCGAGAAACTCGTATTTTAACGGGATAAGGGCGAAAAAAGTGTCGTACGCGCTGCTATTCTAAAACGATGAGAATGCGAGGTCTCGGAGTGAAAATTTAATTGACCTGGAAATCACAGATGGCGCAGGGGGTCCCTCTGCAGTCAATTAGGGCCCTAGAAAGCATGCATCCAGAAGATTTCTGGAGTTTTACTTCGATTTCTTGATATTTATTGTACGAAAACAACAGGCGGAGTAGGCCATTTGGTACAATACCTAATATAATTCGACACAGCTGTCAATATAAAAACGAACGTCGGCAACGTAGGCATTTAGCAAAGTCTTCTTTATCGACGTCGATCAAGTTCCTCGACGTGTTACACTTCACCTTAATAGTTTTGTTCACCTTTTTGTCGTTTACAATGAGTAATATTTACGTTTGTTTGATTTCAATTAGTTTTATATACAAGTATGTATTATTTGAATCATATATTAATGACTTTTTGAAATACAAAGTTTAGCATTAAATACCTGTAATGGTATGCAGAGAAAAGAGACTGAATACTACCGATATACCGGATCTTCTACTTACTCCACCTCAAATAACTTTACTATTTTTGGAAACACAAGATATTTTATAGGAAAGTTTAAAGATTTCAGAGCCTTGTTTGGGGGAAGGTCTTTTTTAGTCACTGATTTAGATTTAAGTGGAGGCTCACGCAAGATTTGAAGGTCACTATCAGTATTTTAAATACAACCACTAATTTCTAATCACTTACGATTATAGCACATCCCAATACGAATCCAATTACCCATAAACGCCAAGGTTATTATATTTTTTAAATCATCTTATTTAAAACTCTTGTTTATTTTAAAAGGTGTTCGACGCCTTATTTTGCACATTTTAAAAATGTAGCACAGAACTTGTTAAACTGAAAGTTCCGTGTTATCATCTTTCGATTGATATACAATTCTTGAAGGCCTTGATACTGTCTCAGGAACGTTACACGACAATTTAGAAAATTTCGTCAATTAGGAAACCCGCATTTGAATGAGATATACGCAAAAAAAGTGTTTTTTGGGTGTCTGTGCTAAGATAAAGGCAACACGAGGTCAGGGAGAGAAAATAAAGTGACTCGGTCGTATCCAAGGTTAGCATAAATCCGGTTTTCTTGCAAAAATCCCAGCTCAATGGTTTTAACCGGTTTACGCCATATTTGCTGGTTTTTACCGCCCAAATCGTTACCCAAAAAAGCAGTGGTGAAAATCTGGTTTATACCATATTTAAACCGGGGTCTTTCCATTGCTTTATCCCGAAGATGCGCAGGAACGAAAATATAGATTTGTTCGCTGTTCTTTGCACTGCACGCCAGAAGGCGAACAGCTCCTAGTAGTTCTGATTAAGGTGAAGTGAAACACGTCGAGGAACTTGATCAACGTCGATAAAGACGATTTTTCTAAATGCCTACGTTGCCGACGTTCGTTTTTATATTGACAGCTGTGTCGAATTATATTGTGTATTGTACCAAATGGCATATTCCACCTGTCGTTATCGTACAATAATTATGAAGAAATCGAAGTAAAACTCCAGAAATCCTCTGGATTCATGCCTTTTGGGCCCTAATTGACTGCGGAGGGACCCCCTGCGCCATCTGTGATTTCCAGGTCAATTAAATTTTCACTCCGAGACCTCGTATTACCATCGTTTTAGCAAAGAAGCGCATACAACACTTTTTTTGCCTATATCCCGTTCAAATGCGAGTTTATCGATTACCAGAGTGTTCTAAATGGTCGTAAAATTGTCCTGACCCTTTCGATTCTCATATCAGAGCCTTCGATAATTGTATATTGATCAAAATATGAGAGCTCGACGCCATTTTGGTTCTGGTCTGGACTGAGTTAAAAAATTTCTTTGAAAGATCCAAATTTTTAATATGTCAGGACAATTCTTAGCTGATCAGGAGTGATGTGTCAAAGTTTTTGACAGTTTGGCCTAATACCCTTAAAAAAAAGTGTTGTATTCGAATCGACTGATTTGAAGGATGTTTAACTTCACCTTAATTGTTTTTAAACCAGACTTCTACTGGGATAAAGCGTACGGAGGGATGCAGCTTCGCGTTACGTTGTTCGAAATGAGAATCGAGGG